AGGGAATAGCGTACCAGTAAAACCGTCTGTCGTTCGGCTATTCCCTGGCTCCTCGTACTTTTTCAAAGTGTGTAGAGACGGCGTTGCAGCCGCTACACAGAGGAGGGATGAGAGTACTATTTTTACCTGGACGACCTGCTGCTGCATGGCTCGCTCCAGGGAGGAAGCGGCTTTACAGACGGTACAACTTGTAGAGGAAACTTCTGTGTAGCATGCAGTGGAGTCACCGACTCAGGAAGGAGACACGGGAAGAGTCGGAGCTTTGATGTCAAACCACTGTGATTTATTTGGAGTTGGTACCAGAGTATTCACATCACAAATCCAAGAGTCAGAGGTTCTGACTTCACGGTAGAGTTGCCACGTCAATCCTGGAGAGCCTCTCTCTTGCCAGCCCATCTAACTGGTTTCGCAGAGAGTAAACAACATATTTGAGGAGATAGCCTAAACAGTGTGGGAACACAGAGCTACTTGCTTCGGACACTTATGACCTCGAAGATTTTACCTTGGAGTCCACAAATACAGAGAAGGAAGTGTCCCAGTGTACCCACAACACAGACCATCTGTATCCCAGTATTGACCGGTCACAGAATGGGAACAATAACATTATTGGCTAAGCCGCCTGTGTCCTTAAAGAAGGTAAACAGACATCGAGGTTTGTCCTGTATGTTACAAATTGGCGTCTTATGATAATTATTTCCATAACACAACTCATATCGTATCTGTCAAAGCTGGGTTTCATGATAAATTGGAAAAAGAGACTCAGCCCGCATGAGAGCACGACTCTCACGGCAGAGAGTGGAGTGGACACGCTGACAGCTCTCCTTCGACGTGTCACACCCCGCAGCGTGGTGACGAAAAAGCCCCCCACAGTTCAATGGGATACAGGAAACACTCCTGTCCTCCCAGAAGCTATGTCTTGCGCTCCAAATCCGAGCTGCTGGAACTCCTGTTGAAAGAGGATATTTCCAGGGTTCCTCAAAGGGAGGAAAATCAGGGGTTTTCACTCCCGTTATTTTTCTAATCCCGAAAAAAGACTGGGGCAATGAGACATCCTCGATCTGTCAGTATTCCACATGCTGACGATCAAACAGGGGCTGGAATGTGTTCACCAGGACGATTGATTGATTGAAAAGTTTATTAACAGCTTGTATATTGGGTACAGTACAGTACAACCAGCTACGACTGGTTCACTTCCACCTGAAGGATGCATACTTCCACGTATACCCATCATCCCGAAACACAGGAAATTCCTGCGGTTTCTCATTTCAGGGAATATCAGACCAGACAATCGTCTGCCGTTTGGATATTTCCTGGCTCCTCCCATTTTTGTGTAGAGAAGGCTGGAGCCGCTACACAGAGGAGGGATGAGAGGGTGATTTCCTTTGGACGACCTGCTAGTTGCTGGCTCGCTCCAGGGAGGAAGTCGCTTTACAGACAGTACATCTCGTATCGCATCTGTCAAAGCCTGGGTTTCATAACAAGTTGGAAGAAGAGCTGTCCTCTTCCCTCTCAGACAAACGTTATCTGGAGTGGAATTAAAAACTCAGCCAGCAGCAGAGCGCTCTCTGGCAGCGAGTGAGAAACTGACAGCTCTCCTCCGGCGTGTCACAAACCACACAGCCCTCTCCGTAACGCAGCTGCTCGGCATTAGCGTCAGCTGGTCACGGGGGGGATTCCCCTGGGTCTCCCCCACAGGTGGAGTCTCCAGAGGTGCTTCATTCACTGCAGAAGCCTGCTGTTTTAACCTATTGGTTTATAAACTGCAGAGCTCGAGGCATTCCTCTGTCCCAGATATGCCTTACACACGGTCATAATAAATCCACGAGCACTGTTATAACGCCTCGTGAGGACAGCATACACACACCTCTCATCCTCGGGGCGTGTACGCGCCTCATGATGAGAGACAGAGTGGAATGCAGCGTGTGGAAACTCCCTCGCAGCTTTTTTGCTTCACGGGCAGCAGCGGCGAGGGCGTGGCACGTCACCATGACGACCATTACGGCACATCACAGAGAAGCCTCTCCCCCCAGCAGTTCCATGGGATGCAAGAAACACTCCCGTTATCCCAGGAACAGTGTTATTTCCGGCGGATTTAACCGAGGGGCTCGCAGAACGCAGCAGCCGTGCTATGCGAGGAGTATGGAGACTCAGACCGGTGTCACGCACACTGGCGCCTCAGTGGGATTTGGCTTTGGTGTTACGCGCACCAAAGAAAAACCCCATTTGAACCTGATCAGGTTCCCCTTAACTGTATTCAGCCAAAGTAGTACTGCTTTTGGCTCTATCAGAGGAAAGGGTGATCTGTCTGCTCTCCCGGAGTTGAGTAAAGTTAGAACGATATTGGCAGATTCGGATTTCACGGATCAATAACTCATGAACAAAACGTTATTCACACACAAATGATGTCTCCTATGTACCGTGGTAAGGTTGACAACGAACTACAATCATATGTTGATAAAAAAAAAACAATATGCGCCGTCCTCCGAGCTGGACACATTAAATTGGTCTCTTTCAGCAGCCGGAGATGAAACAAGTGCTCAGGGACCGTCTGCAAAGTGCAACTCCGAAAAAAGAAAATACAATAATATTCAATAACGTCACTATTATACAGTATATTTCTACCAAACTCACTACACACATCAATAGTCTCCTGGTGGTTGGACTACAGCAGAGAGTTTGAAAGAATGTGCTTTGGAATAATTTGAATAATTTTGGTGAATATTTATAGTGTAAAATCTTCAATAAATATGGTATAATCTTCAATAGCGTCACTATTATACAGTATATGTCTCCCAAACTCACTACACACATCAATAGTCTCCTGGTGGTTGGACTACAGCAAAGAGTTTGGAAGAATGTGCTTTTGAATAATTTTGGTGAATATTTATAGTGTCAAATCTTCCATAAATATGGTATAATCTTCAATAGCGTCACTATTATACAGTATATGTCTCCCAAACTCACTACACACATCAATAGTCTCCCGGTGGTTGGACTACAGAAGAGAGTTTGGAAGAATTTGCTTTTGAATAATTTTGGTGAATATTTATGGTGTAAATTCTTCAATAAATATGGTATAATCTTCAATAGCGTCACTATTATACAGTATATGTCTCCCAAACTCACTACACACATCAATAGTCTCCTGGTGGTTGGACTACAGCAAAGAGTTTGGAAGAATGTGCTTTTGAATAATTTTGGTGAATATTTATAGTGTAAAATCTTCCATAAATATGGTATAATCTTCAATAGCGTCACTATTATACAGTATATGTCTCCCAAACTCACTACACACATCAATAGTCTCCTGGTGGTTGGACTACAGCAGAGAGTTTGGAAGAATTTGCTTTTGAATAATTTTGGTGAATATTTATAGTGTAAAATCTTCCATAAATATGGTATAATCTTCAATAGCGTCACTATTATACAGTATATGTCTCCCAAACTCACTACACACATCAATAGTCTCCTGGTGGTTGGACTACAGCAAAGAGTTTGGAAGAATGTGCTTTTGAATAATTTTGGTGAATATTTATAGTGTCAAATCTTCCATAAATATGGTATAATCTTCAATAGCGTCACTATTATACAGTATATGTCTCCCAAACTCACTACACACATCAATAGTCTCCTGGTGGTTGGACTACAGCAGAGAGTTTGGAAGAATTTGCTTTTGAATAATTTTGGTGAATATTTATAGTGTAAAATCTTCCATAAATATGGTACAATCTTCAATAGCGTCACTATTATACAGTATATGTCTCCCAAACTCACTACACACATCAATAGTCTCCTGGTGGTTGGACTACAGAAGAGAGTTTGGAAGAATGTGCTTTTGAATAATTTTGGTGAATATTTATGGTGTAAAATCTTCAATAAATATGGTACAATCTTCAATAGCGTCACTATTATACAGTATATGTCTCCCAAACTCACTACACACATCAATAGTCTCCCGGTGGTTGGACTACAGCAGAGAGTTTGGAAGAATTTGCTTTTGAATAATTTTGGTGAATATTTATGGTGTAAATTCTTCAATAAATATGGTATAATCTTCAATAGCGTCACTATTATACAGTATATGTCTCCCACACTCACTACACACATCAATAGTCTCCTGGTGGTTGGACTACAGAAGAGAGTTTGGAAGCATTTTCTTTTGAATAATTTTGGTGAATATTTATAGTGTAAAATCTTCAATAAATATGGTACAATCTTCAATAGCGTCACTATTATACAGTATATGTCTCCCAAACTCACTACACACATCAATAGTCTCCCGGTGGTTGGACTACAGAAGAGAGTTTGGAAGAATTTGCTTTTGAATAATTTTGGTGAATATTTATGGTGTAAATTCTTCAATAAATATGGTATAATCTTCAATAGCGTCACTATTATACAGTATATGTCTCCCACACTCACTACACACATCAATAGTCTCCTGGTGGTTGGACTACAGAAGAGAGTTTGGAAGCATTTTCTTTTGAATAATTTTGGTGAATATTTATAGTGTAAAATCTTCAATAAATATGGTACAATCTTCAATAGCGTCACTATTATACAGTATATGTCTCCCAAACTCACTACACACATCAATAGTCTCCTGGTGGTTGGACTACAGCAGAGAGTTTGGAAGAATCTGCTTTGGAATAATTTTGGGGAAGATTTATAATGTATTATAACATACTGTATATACAATGTTACACATTGTATATAGGCTACAGTATGTTATATATAAATTAAGACATGAAACAACTTTTTCATTAGCTATGAAACAGTAAAATGGTCACAATCTTATGAACGATCCAAATGCAGCACTCAAGAAACCAAACCAAGGAGTATTGGTAATGAACTTTATTTGTAATAATACCAGAGCAGAGGGATAACAGAACAGTATCAGCCGGATGATGGGCAGGCAAACGAACCAGAGGACAGCGGGCAGAAGGTGAGTCAGGGCCGGGCAGAGGGTCAGGGAGCAGGCGAGGCGGACAACGGAGGTACAGGCAGGATCAGGGATCAGGCAGAGCAGGCAGAGCAGGCAGGTCGGGGACAGGCAGGGTCGGAACCGGGTAGGCAATCTAGTAACACACGCGTGAAAGACTAGCATGAAGGCAAAGTACGATCTGGCAACGGGTGTGTGTCTGGTGAGGGTTTAAATACTGGTAGTAAAGCTAATGGGTGCAGAAGAGAAAGACAGTGAGCAAAAACGTGGGTGTGGTTAACAGGTGAGACAGGTGAATGGAAAACTACTGGTGAATGATGGAACAGACAAAATAAAGTTAACATTGAAAAATAAAAAATGTCAGGCTTTTCACCTATCTTACTGTACAATATTAATGAACAAATCCACAATCTAATGTCAGACATGGAAAACATCATGAACATCTGTGACTACTTTAATCTGTAATTGAAAATATATTTAACATCTTAATTAAGAATATAACAAGTTAAAACTATGGACAGGTGATTATTATGTCACGATCTGTCTTTATGGTGTTTTGTCTTGTCTAGATCTATCTTTGGTTTTCTGTCTGCGTTGTGTTTTGTCCTATTTAGATCTGTCTGTGGTTCCCTGTCGTTAGTTTCCCTGGTGTGTCTGATTACCCGATTGTGTTCACCTGGTGTCCCTGTGTTTTCTCCTCCCTCCTCACCTGTGTCTTGTTTGTGTGATTAGTCTTGTGTGTATTTAAGTTCTGGTTTTTCTGTCTGTCTTTGTCGTTTTGTCTTGTGTCATGACTAGTTCGTCGGTCAGTGTTCTGTTTTGTCTTTGTTTATATCCTAGCCTTGAAATAAAGGAATTTTCACGTTAATCTGCATTTGGGTCCTACCTGCTTCACACACCGTAACATATTAATCATTACTTCAGTTGCCCAAAATCTTTAGCAAAGCTTTTTTCTGGATTTTTATTTGTTTTGTACAAAATTCAGCTTTCATTTAGCCGATTTCAAATCACTGGCTGGGCTGGATTTCCCCCCACATGCCGTTTGTAAGTGCACTACTTCTACTGTGGTAGTAGTTCAAACTACAAGCCTTACCTCCCCAAATCCTGGTACCTCTGGTAAAAGTTACACAAACTCACCTCTAGCCTCTTTAGTTTGTGAGGATACACAAAACACAATACCACGGGGTATTCTTTTTGGGTATTCGTGCAGCAGGCATTCCGAGGCACTGCGTGTGAAACCATCTCCCACAAGTTTCACACTGAATCTACATGGGGACAAATACAACAAAGATATTAAGAAAATGTAAAGTGTAGGACACTTGTAAAGCAGGCATATTCATTTATATTTTAAAGAGATTATACTTTTTTTTATATACAGTATATATAAATACTTGTTGTTATTCAGGTTTATCTGTACTGTGCTAAAACTTTAACAAATTATAAGAAAAACAAAAGGAAACCTGTAATGCATACAAATATACAAAATGTCATTACTTTTATGTTATTCCTGAAATCTAACTCCAGATGATCTATATATTATCTATTATTCAGATTATCTTCTGGAGTTTAAAAAAAATCATCATTTAGTCTCACCCAAACAGCATCAACAGCAGTTGTGGGCAGGTCCTCAATTCCACAGAAGGAACAGAAGTCATCCTTTGAAACTGAAAAAATAACCGGTGTATTACTGTTCAATTTACAGGAAGCCGTCCATATATTCATTTCATATTTTTGGCTAATACCTGATCCTCTGAGAATTTCTTCTGCCATGTCTCTTCGTAGATGTTGTGATGACTTGATGTGAAACGTCTTTGGAATTTTGGGAAATTCCTTCACTGTCATCTTGGCCATCTGGACAGATGGTAAAATAACATGACGTTATGACGTGTTTTTGAATTTCCCTTTAAAATAAAATGCTTTATTATTAATGAACACAACATGTTGCATTAAATTACCTGCATGACAAAGGCTCCACAACTGGTGGCATCTTTCTGGAAGGTGTGGGTTATTTTTCCAGGCTGCCATTTGATGCTAACCCAGTCCTCTTTTCCCAGTCTGTTCCGGCGCATCTTGAAATACTCTCTAGAACAAGAGGAAATAAAATGTAATTGGCGCTTACTCTTTGCCTTTACCAAATGTGCGTTTAACCAATGTATTTCCTGTAATATATTTTATATTACCCAAATTTGTAAGCAGCCTTTCTGGAGTCCTCAACTTCATTTGACCCTTGCAGAGGATCAACCACATAAATGTGGTTTGAAAGGGCATGGAGGTACTGTTTTAAAAAGTAGCATACGGTATAATTAAACCAAACCTTTTTCAATATGTCAGCAGCAACAATAATGTATCAGCTTTTCTTCAAAAATGAAAACCACAGTTATTAAAATCACTTCAACTGTTAAAAAAGCTATTAAAAGTAATACTAAAATAATAACTACCCATTTTAAATGGGTATAATTAAGACTTAAAAGTATTGAAATAATTAAAGATATCAGATGAAAGAAAGTTGCACAATTTGGGGTCAGAAGACTCAAATCTTTAGCGGAGCAGTAGCGACCACCAATGAGAAATGTTTGAATGAGTACTTATTTTGGACTACATGTTATATGGTTTCCCTATGATATAGATGAACGTGAAGACATTAAAACTAAAAGAAGCATTTTTAAATCAGTCCTGAGGCAAAGATGCATTTACAAAATGGGGCTGCATGAGATACACATGTTAGTCTTAACTCTGTCACAGTATATGAGTAATGTATTGCAATATGTTTTAATAGCAATGTATATTTAGTTGTATGCATTTGAATAAATGTAATCATACATCTTCAAAGTAATAGTTGATGAACTTGAAATGTGCAAACTCTAAAAGCAGCTACAGTATGACTACACGAGTAGCTGTATACTCACCACAAACTTCCAGTGCACATTTCTTATATTGACAAATCCAATGGCTCCATCATAGAGATCAAATGTCACCTGAAAAAATTAGGGAACATGTAAACATAAGTGTTATTTTCTATAATATACCGGTGCAAAACAATAATTTAATTTACACAGTATTCATTTTTTATTTTTCTCAACAGGAACAAGAAAAAAAAGGGAAGCTTAGATTATAAATGTATTGGTTAAAAACAAAACAAATGTCTCCAAAAACGACATACATATAATAACGCTGGAAGTTGCCTGTAGACACATATCTGTCTCCTTTCTCAAGCCTACAATACTAAAGGGATGAAAATACTTTGAATAATCAGTTTCACTCACCTTTTTTAGCTCTTGCCTGGCTATCTGCTCTCGGGTGCCGTGTAGGATTACACCCATGGTGTAGTGATCCAGGAGATATAGACGACCAGCATTATCCTTCAGGTTGAGGATGCCTCTAATGTAACATTCCATTACCTTTTGGATAAATTGTAGGGGAAATAGTCATACAAAATGCCAGCTAATATAGAGGCCAAAGTCGGTTTTAATCACATCATTGTCAGATCATTTTAGAATGGATAAATTAAAACTGGTCTATTTAAAGTCACACTCCAGGTGGACTGGCCTAACAATTTACTTGGATATCATTTACATACTTTTTGTCAACAATTGAATCATTAACATATGGCTTACGTGAGATGAGCAGTCCGGTACAGCATAAGTTTTAATAAATACTTGCCTCGCCTATGATGAGTTCGTCAGGTCTCAAACTCTGAAATTCTCTGTGCCTCAGGGTGAAATTATGCTTCTCTTCAGCATGTCTTACAACAGCCACAACAACTTCAGTTGGTTTGCATGTCCAAAGGGCATCAACCTAAAATGAAATGAACAATGGTATCATAATAACTTCGTACAGCATTCGAGATTTCGGCATTTAGATTTTCTACGTTTTCTATGACAGAAAGATTGCCTCATGCTAAAACGTTTTTAATGCATTCTTAACGTTGTTTTTATAGCTCGAAGAATTGCTTACTTTGTTACTCTTTTTAAAGCATACATTTTAATATAGCAAAACAATACCTCTGTTGCAGGCTTGGACCCTTTACTTGTGGGGTTGCTGCTGTTCTCCACATCTGTGCTGCTCTGAATATCTTCACCAGTGTTCAGAGTTAACTTTGCTCTTTTTGGAACTGGAAGAATGTCTGGAGTGGTGTAATATTTGGAGCTGGAAGTGCGAGGCTTTGCTCCATCTCTCTTTGCCCAACCTTCCTTCGATTGACTGATGTCTTTTGGTAGCAAAGTTTTGAGGAGTAACTGCTCAGATAAGTGATGTGCCATTATGTGTTCTCTGTACCTCCCCTGGAGAGAGCCATACATCTTTCTGATGAATGTCGCTGGCCTCAGTCGTCTCTGCTTTTTTAGAATAGAATGTTTGACTATTCCAAACCATCTCTCCACATGGCAGTTTGTGTCCCTTGTTTTACTTTGGCCAAATGTGTCTTCCTCTGTGTCAGTTGCATATCTTTTCAAATTCCCCAACAGCAGCCCACTCCAAAGGGGAAAAATCCCTAGATAGTTGTCAAAAAGGACATCAACAATGCCAGGGCAAAAGTATGGATTTTCATCCTGTGGGGTTTCGACCTCCTCTTTTTCAAGCTCTCCCTGTACCTCCTCCATGACCTTCCTAAACTCATATGTGAAGGGAGATCTGCCAACAATTGTGTGGGCATTTCTTCTTTCTTCATCATCTTCCTCCTGAGTTAAGGGACTGTCTCCTAACTTGTCCCCCTCTTCCATGTCGGGAATCCTGCATTCTTTTATGAAGTCCTTCATGGCTTTCAGATGGATCAGGACAGCATTGGAATTGTGCTTTCCAATCAACACAGTGCACAGTGAGCGGAAGATGTGTAGTGCTGTGGTCATTGAAGTAGCATTTTGCAACCTCGCAAATGCAAATGTTGCAAATTCCTTCAAACCCTTGTCTGCAGTCCTTCTCCCAATTGACTGAGCTACAGCTTTCAGCACGTGTGCAGAGCAAATGTGTAGCACTGTCAACATTTTGATTTCCTTCCATGACTTCAGCTTTGAACAGATAGCGAAAGCCCTGTCCAAGTAACTGACAATGCTCTCTTTGTTAAAAGAAAGGAGAACACTTTGGAGTAGGGCCCAGCTGTAGTCTGTTTCTACCTGATGTACTTTTATTTTAGTGTACTGTGACAGTTTGCGGAGGAACTGCATTAGCCAGAATGTGATTGGTGGAATGGAGTGTTCATTTGTCAGCATTTCACAGACTGGGAGGGGAGGTACTTGCTGACCACCTCCAGGAAGAGTGAGGCAGTAATAAAGCACTCTTTTGGTCTGACCTGGAACTTTGGATGCAACATTACCTGTAGCATCTAGATATAGGGTCAGCGGTTTCTTCTTTCTCAGGTGTTGCACAACTATGTTTACTCCGGTTTCAGAATACATATGTACTCCAAATGGGTCAACTTGAAAATGCTGTATGTACCCAGGCATCCTGCGATAATTTGAGTCACATTCCTTAATGATCATTTGTGTGAGGTACATCTCCATGAAAACATCTTCATGGATTCTTTTACCTCTTCTTACTTCTGAACGTATCACTTTGAGAACATTTTTGTTCAGACTACGGCTTATGTTTCCTGAAATCAGTTCAGCAACAGGTGTTTTTTTAAGTTTACTGTAAAATACTTGACTCACTCCTTTATGCAGGGCTCTTGCAATTCTGCTTCTTCTTCTGTTTGCTGCTGGTCGGAATTTTGTCTCATTTGCTTTGTGTGCCATTTTCCCTCTTTGCAGCACAGATATTTTAACAAGGGTGTCTCCCACTGGCTGATTTTGGATTTTAAAGAAGAATTTGGCCCTGCAGGAAGGGAATGTACAAACTGCACAGATGTTTAAGTACGGACTTTTAATTTTCCTGCTGTTGGGAGTTTTTATGTGGTGACTCTTGAAGGCAAGCGTACAACAGGGATTTTTCTCTCGGAAACTCTTGTACAACACGTCGGTCCACGGTTGCCTCAGTTTGTTTGAACCCGTCAAAGGAACAATCTTTTGCCATTTCTTTCTATTTACTGTTATTCCGAACCTTTTAGATACTACTGGCAACTTCCGCCAATGTGTTTTGGTGCCTGTGTTTTTATTGACATCTTGTGCTCCTCTTTGCAAATTCTGTTCTTCAGTTTCTGCCTCATTCTTGTCTATGTCCTCATCTGATAACTGGTCATCTTCAAGTCCACTCTGAGAAGACATCCTTTGTTGTTTGTCTTCTGCCTCATTCTTGTCTATGTCCTCATCTGATAACTGGTCATCTTCAAGTCCACTCTGAGAAGACATCCTTTGTTGTTTGTCTTCTGCCTCATTCTTGTCTATGTCCTCATCTGATAACTGGTCATCTTCAAGTCCACTCTGAGAAGACATCCTTTGTTGTTTGTCTTCTGCCTCATTCTTGTCTATGTCCTCATCTGATACCTTATGCTGAATCATGCTCAGAGGCAAGTCCTTTGAAAGACAGTCTTCAGAACATTCCCCTCCAACATCTCTCTCGTTTTGATTTTCCTCCATTACCTGAACTTCCTTCTGCTCTAATGATTTTTGACGTTTATTGATCAAATCCCTCAATCCTTTTCGATTGTTGGTCCATACAACCCACAGCCAATGACGGTGTTTCTTATCATCATGACCAAAAAGGATTATAGCGAGTTCCGACCAAATATATGAAGAATGTCCTGTATCTCTTTTGGTAATGTGAACACTCTTCAGTCCTCGGACCAATGCTTCCATTCCACCAGCCATTGTCCATAAGTCCTTCCTCTGGGCCCTCTTTCCTTTTTTAACTCTTCCCATTATTTTCAAACTTCCTCTAACCTAAAGGAGGAAAGGCAAAGCGAAATAGTTTTTCTCAATATAAAAAGATAAAAAGTAAACTTTTTAGAAGCACATATAATAAAAAACTGTGTTCAAATATGTAACACTAAGTTGGGTTTTTGTTTTGGTTTGTAAAAATAGTCATTTGTCATTTTAAAATGTGTAATATTACATCACAGGAACAAATAACATTTGTTTGTAGTTTTAATTCAGTAACATTTCAGTTGATCAAATACTAACTAACTTCAGCTAGGTTAATAAAAATAAAAAAACATAATTTTTTTTATTTAATCTGAATGATGGCTTGTTAAAGTATAAGAAACATGTTTTGGTTAAGCTCAGGATATTATGTTTAAATAATTCCACCCTGTTACTGTGAAAAATAGTAACAGGGTAGACGGTAACAAGGTGGACATTTCATGCTAAACTTGGCTATTGCTACATGTGTGATGATAATCAAGCTAGCACTTGTGACAACAGAGAAAGATATTTGATAGATATATTCACATTTTTTTCTAAATGTAAACATTTTGATCAGTTTCCACACAAAATGAGCATAACAGGGTGGACATGTTATGCTTTACCGCAATAGTTAAGTTCGTTAAAAACATTAAAAAATCGTTGAAGGAAGAGTGCATACTTACTCTGCTTCTTGAAGATGATTTTCCCACTCAAAATGTATCCTTCTTCTTGAGTCATACAAATAGTAGAATAGTAAAGGGGCGTGTCCAGAGGGATTCAAATCAGAGTAACAGGGGGGACATTAAAACAGGGGACACACACTTTAAAAAAAAATTAAATCAAGAAAATTGAATTAACAACAATTTAAATTTGGTGAGGAATATTAATAAAAGGGTTATACAATAGTGACAAAAATGTAGAATTTGATTTCTTTGTTTATATCTGTTAGAGAAGTTGAGCAAACATGATTTGGGACACAACAATTTGGCCTACTTGTGCTAAAATCAGACTAATTATTTAGCATTTTGAATATCCTGGGTAAATAACATTGATGTTTTATAGTAGAGGGTAATAAAAATGTAAAACCAAGCTTTTAAAAATAAGCATTTGACCTTTTAAATGCAAAATATATGATATAATGTGTTGGGGACCTAACCACCAGGAGACTATTGATGTGTGTAGTGAGTTTGGGAGACATATACTGTATAATAGTGACGCTATTGAAGATTATACCATATTTATTGAAGATTTTACACTATAAGTATTCACCAAAATTATTCAAAAGCACATTCTTCCAAACTCTCTGCTGTAGTCCAACCACCAGGAGACTATTGATGTGTGTAGTGAGTTTGGGAGACATATACTGTATAATAGTGACGCTATTGAAGATTATACCATATTTATTGAAGATTTTACACTATAAATATTCACCAAAATTATTCAAAAGCAAATTCATCCAAACTCTTTGCTGTAGTCTGACCACCAGGAGACTATTGATGTGTGTAGTGAGTGTGGGAGACATATACTGTATAATAGTGACGCTATTGAAGATTATACCATATTTATTGAAGATTTTACACTATAAATATTCACCAAAATTATTCAAAAGCACATTCTTCCAAACTCTCTGCTGTAGTCCAACCACCGGGAGACTATTGATGTGTGTAGTGAGTGTGGGAGACATATACTGTATAATAGTGACGCTATTGAAGATTATACCATATTTATTGAAGATTTTACACTATAAATATTCACCAAAATTATTCAAAAGCACATTCTTCCAAACTCTCTGCTGTAGTCCAACCACCAGGAGACTATTGATGTGTGTAGTGAGTTTGGTAGCACTCCACTGTATAATAGTGACGCTAGTGAATATTATTGAATATTATTGTATTCTCTTTTTTCGGAGTTGCACTTTGCAGACGGTCCCTGAGCACTCATTCCTTTTCCGGCTGCAGATAGAGACCAATGTAATTTGTCCAGTTTTGAGGACGGCGCATATTGGCTTTTTTTTTATCAACATGTGATTGTAGTTCGTTGTCAACCTTACCACGATACTTAGGAGACGTCATTTGTGTCTGAATAACATTTTGTTCATGAGTTATTGATCCGTGAAATCCGAATCTGCCAATATCGTTCTAACTTTACTCAACTCTCTCCCGGTGGCTCCGTCATGTCTCCGGATCCATGGAGATGCAGTTCAGCTGTTTTACGCCCTAACCCGGCTTCATGCCTATAAGGTCATCACAACTCTTTTAGGTCAAGAGTGATCACCCTGGCTGGCTTCTTCCCCCCTCCTCACAGGTCGGAGGAAGAAGAAACATCTCATCTCCTCTGCCCGGTGCGCGCGCTGTCTGCTATGTGGCGCGCACGGCGGCATTGCGCCGTTCTCAGCGCCTGTTTGTGCATTACAGAGAGCGCTCGATCGGGCAACCTCTGTCTACACAATGGCTGTCACACTGGCTGTGTGAGGCTGTGTCACAGGCATATGTCTCCTCTGGGGTGGAGCCCCCGGAGAATATCAAAGCGCACTCAACCAGAGGAAATTCCTCCTCCTCGGTGTTGCGCGGAGGAATGTCAGTGGAAGATATTTGCACGGCTGCATCTTGGTCTTCCCCCTGCTCATTTATTCAATTGTATTTGAGGGATGTCTCCCTTTCCTCTCTGACACGCCCTGTACTGGGTGTCCTGTCAGAGTGAGTGACGTCAGGGATCCAGGGGATCCAGCTGAGAGCTCTCCTACCTGGCTGACACGGAGAGAGCGGCTGTTCCCCCTCTATGATCGCAGGACAAGGTGGGACCTTCGTCTCTACTTTCTCACAGCGGTCGGTATGTATTGTTCCCAGCCTTCACCCCGTCAGGAAAACAGGTATGTTTTCTCCAGGGACGGGGATGTGCCATTATGCATGGCACAACAGGCAGGGGGGTGTTATTAAGCAGGTATGTCTGTGCTTCTAGTGCTGGACGGACCCAGTGGGGCGCAGACTACATCATGCTTCGCCCTTAACCCAATAGCGATAGCCTTAGAGGGCGAAGCCATATACGAAATAGAACTGAGGTTATACCTAACTGTAACCCAGCTTCTATGAGTATTGGCGCAGCCCTCTAAGCGCTGGGCCCCACTGGCTCTACGAATAGCTGAAGAAAAGTTATATTGTATGGGAGCAGATCGCCGGGCAACCTCCCTATTTATACCGGAAGGAGGCCCGAGGGTGGGGCCCACCTAGCGGGTGGGCGTGGACTACAAGTGTTTTCAGTACTGCGCGGGGGCGCAGAAGGGTAAACCCAAT